AAAAAAAAAAAAAAAGATCATGTTCGGGGGTGTTTTATATTTGAAATAAAATTTAGGTTTCCATACTTTTATAAATGAAATAGGATTAGACAGTACTTTAGTTCTAGAAATCTTTTTTACAATAGAAGCATAGAAAGCTTTTTCCTCTTTGAGTTAAATTCAGAAGTTTTCAAAATAGAGCTAAAAATATCTGAATCTGTTCCTTGTTTAGATTACATTAGACACACAGAATATGATGTTTTAATTTTAACTATATTAATTTCCCTAAGGCTCATTTTATGAAATAGTATGCATTATTTTGGGGTTATACATCAGATCCTACAATTCCTAAGAAAAGGTTAAATATATGGTACTTAATATTATTCCATTAAACATTTTAAGTGTTCACCAGGAATTCATAAACTGGCTGGCTGCCATTATTTCCTAAGGGTGATGCCAAAACATAGCCAAAAAATAGCGAAAACATCTAATAAATAAAAGCACACCATCTTAGGAATACACTGCCGATGGGCTTTCACTGGTAAGTCTACTGATATTGTAGAAAACAACAAGTTGTAATATTTATAGAGTCTCCGTTCAGAAGAATGATTTCTCCTTCATCATGTGATAATCTAACAGTTAAAAACTGAGCTCTATCTAACATCCAGGAAAGCGCTAGATTTGTCAGTCTAGCTTTTCTCATCATCAACTCACTGAAGCAGAGTCTGTGATACAGTGAAGCCGAGTTTTTGCCCGTTAGGTGATGGCTTTTTTGAAGTTTATGATTTCCTGCTTCTTTTTCACCCCCTTGCTTCTTCCTTTGTATAAACTTCCCAATTTTATATCATATCACTGCTTGCTCTTCCCCAGTACATGGAAATAGACATTCTTAAGGTAAAAAATATTACTGCTTGAAAGCATTTGTTATTGTGTAGTCATAATACTCGAAGTCTATAAGCTTATAAGGCATTCTGAGTTCCTTGGCAGATAGGTGCTATATAAATCCAATAAGGATTATAGGCAAAACGAAAATGGAAGTATCGCTTTAAGTGCACTTGTTTTAAACACTGTTCCTTAGTACCATTATGCATTACTGATCCTAGAAACCTACAAAGAGTCCATGGTTCAAAATTATTTTGGTTGGTGATACATTTTATTACTCAGCAAAGGTTTCAGCAGAAAACACCCTTCATTTATCCTTTACAAGTTTCATTTGAAGAAAGTTAGAAAAATACTTAAAAATTTAAGTACTTGATAAATCCCTCAATTTAAAAAGCTATTAAAATGTCCAATAAATTTCAATTTAAAGTGGCAAGAATTTAGGCTAATACAGCTATTTGACTCTGAATTGTAACTCGCCCTTTTCAATGTAACAATTCAGTTTGCAACATTAATATATGTATCATCAATTCTGCTGCCCCATGCGACGCAATGGTGACCCATGAGGCACATGTATACCTTATAACTGATAGATCTTTCTTATAAAAAGGATTCTTTGAAGCACATTTGATAACATTTTTTAAAGAAAAAAGAGCTACTTAAATTGATGCTATCGATAATAGACAAGATTTTTTTTTTTTTTCAGAGGCGGAGGAAGGATTGGTTGAAATAAAAGGTACATTCTTTTAAAATACCTTGACTGGCAGCAAATGTGGATTATGCTCATCTCAATATTTAATCGGAAATAAGTTACAGCTTTGTTATCTGACTTTTTAATTAAAGTGGGTGGAAAAAACGAAGGTCCCAAATGAACTATGATTGTTTCCTTAGGGATTCCGTTTGACTCTGTCCCTTTTGGACTAATGTTCCAAATAGGAGGCTTACCTTCTTTAGGACATCAGAGGCTTTGCAGCTCTAGCTTGGGAATCTTTCCTATCATTTCTGCTGGTTTGCAAGTTAAAACCAGTTTGGCCCGTGCTTTCTTTCTGCTCCAAAATCCAGCCTTCAGAGAGCAGCACCCTGCAGTGAAGACAGACATTTTTCAGATGAGATTCAAGTTTCACTTGTACACTTGTGCAAGGATCTTTCGCAGTAAAGGAGAGGGAAGGAGGAAACTATATTTCTAGATCATATATGAAAAATACCTTGATGATGTATTTTAACATTCTTTCAGTAATACTGCAGCACTGCACTAGAAAATAATTAGTTTAAGAAATTATATTCTGTACTGTCTAGGTGATCCTGTCTTTTTTAGGAGGAAGAAAAACAGCTCCTTGAGGATGTTTTGTACAAGTATTTTTCCGTCCCTAGTAATGTTTGATTAAAAACGCGGGCTGGGGCTTCCCTCTTGGTGCAGTGGTTGAGAATCCGCCTGCCGATGCAGGGGGACGCGGGTTCGTGCCCCGGTCCGGGAAGATCCCACATGCCACGGAGCGGCTGGGCCCGTGAGCCATGGGTGCTGACCCTGCGCGTCCAGAGCCTGTGCTCCGCAGCGGGAGAGGCCACAACAGTAAGAGGCCCGCGTACCGCAAAAAAAACAAAAACAAACAAACAAAAATGCAGGCTGGTTTTATGTTTTGTTTTATCTTAAAACATTTTAGCAGCTCTAATTTTGTCATGGGTTAAAAAAATCTAGATTTAAAAACATTTAATATATGACTTATGTATTTTTGACAAGAAAAAGAATTCTTAGTATTTCAAAATTGGATGGGCTCTTAAATGTGTCAAGCTCAGTTTCCCATTCTACAAATGAAAACCTGATAATTGTGACATGTTAAATAGCAACAACCAGGACTAGATCTCAGGGTTCCAGACTCCCTTTCTAGTTCTTTTTATTCCACATGGTGGTATTGCTAATTACCTACCTTGAGACCTTTGAAATTCTCTTGTCTAATTTAAAAAAAGGCAATTGACGTGAATTTGTTTTATTGTTTTTGCTTTGTGCTCAAACGTTCACTACATTTGTTTAAATTTCACTTTCAGTGCATTCAAAAAATTAGTGTCAGACCCCAGAATATGTTTACATAAAGTTCCTCTGAGTCCACAGTATGATAGGAAATATTTCGGAAATTTAATGGTGATATTTCTTTGGAAGAGAAAAAAACTCTGGAAAGCTGTGCGAGCCTGTGTAATTCTACCTTAAAAGATGAGTAGCTCAGCTGGTGAGAACACCAAACAAATAAGACCAAGTTCACAGGACGTGAAGTCGGTCAGTCACCAGGTGAACAGTCAGCTTTGCATGCTCTGCTCGGCTCTCCCGGCTGGTACCCACTCCGGGTGCGGGCTACCACCCATCCTCTGAGGACCGAGACCAAACAGGGAATCCAAATCGACGGAAATCCATCGTCACCCTGGGAAACCATCATCACCCTGGAAAACCAGTGGACTGACGGGCCAAACCCCAGCAGCTCTGCTGCTGCTGTGCCAGTTCACCGTCTCTACATATACAGGACCAAACTCATGACAGTCCCAATGTCCTGTAGTATGCATGCCACAGATCACAAAAGGTTTCTCATCTTATGTGAATTTTGAGAAAAATCTATCATCGGTGCCTTTTAAGGTGTCACATGGGAAATTCATTAAGTTTGCTTGGCTACTGAAAATGAAAATGTGGTATAAGATTCAGGATCATGGTTACCATGTCA